CATGCAGTATCTGAATGTCTCAATGCTTTCCCTTGCTCTGTACTTCTGGCCACCTCTCTTGTACCTTCTGGGAAGCCTAGTGGAGAAAAGTCCCTGATTTGAATAAGGAAGGGAACCCCAAAATCTGGGGAAAAGCAAATGAGTCTGGGAGGCAGATGAGACCGCAAGCTGCGGGGAAATGCCAGGTCTGGTTTGCAAAGGGGCTATTGTGTGAGAGCTGCTGGGGTGACTAGGGATGGCTGACCAGGAAAACTGGGAGCAGGAAGCAAGGCTGGCTGGGATAGTGAGATGGGAAATGGGAAGAGCAAAGTCGTGGTGATTAGAGATGTGGAATGGGAAGAGCAGAGGAGGGGTGATTGTCAGTTCAGTGGAAAGAGGGGATGGAAGGGAGAAGGGAAGCACTCAGACTGTTTGCCTGGGGAGTGGGAGTTTCTGGTAACAGATGGGGACTGGCGATGGAGGGAAGCTCCCACCAACCGTATACACAGGAAGGCTTGGACTACTGATAGGGAGCAGCTTGTGTGGAGGGGGACAGCATGTGGTGGGAAGGCTGCAGATGACTGGCCAAGGACACACAGATGAGCCAGCCTGCTATGTCTGGGCAGGAGACTTGGCCTGGGCATACAGTAGGGGAAGAAACAGGGAAGGACAGGTGAGGTGGAGCTGGGAGGGGGCAGCAGCTGAGCCCAGAGCCTGGGGCTTTGTGACAAGCCTTAAGAAAGGAAACCAAAAATGGGAAAGCTTAGATGGGACGAGGGAACCAGGAGGGATGGCCATATCAGCTTATGTTTCTCTGACCCCAGACTTCTCCAGTGCCCTAACAAGGTTCTTCTCCCAAGTCTTCCTCCCAAGCCTTACAGTTCCTGTACTGTTGCCCTAAATGCCACCCAGCAGCACATCTCACGTCTTTCTAGTGCTGCTCCTTGCAGCAGCAACAGGCAATTGCTGCTTTCTATCAGAATACACATTTCTCATCACTGAGAAATGTCAGCACCAAGGCTGGCTGTACAACTGCCCTTCAATGTCCTCATGCATATGAATTACGGTTGAGTCTTTAATTATGTGGCCACAGATTTATTTTCCATGGGACACCTGCAGCACACAGGTTAGATGGTGCTCTGGATGAGTCTGGGCTGTGTCATGAAAAAGGTTCTTTGCAGGGACTCAGCATCGTTTCCTTTTTTGTTGTTGTTGTTGGGTTTTTTCCCCCTAAAAGTGTGAAGAAAAAGGAGTGACTCATTGTTGAACCAGTTGTGTGTTGGCCTGGATCCCTGCCCCTGCTGCGGATTTCCTACCTGATGCTGAGCAAGTCAGTCACAGCAATCTTTTCAGAGGTAGCTATTAGCTATGTTTTATTTATTTTGGCATTTTGCTTTGTTTTTAGCCTTGTCCTATCCTAGGATCCTGATGGCTCATTTGCAGGAGTATTTATTTGTCCCTGCTGCATGAGAATGGGACTTGCACTTGACTCTAGAAAAGGCTTTAAAATGCAAAGCGCTCCGGCAAAGCACTCAGATCAGCATCCCCACCTTGCAGGCTGCATTTGACCTTCCCTCCAGGAGTGTTGGGTCTTCTCTAAAATGCTGCTCTCTTGCTTGGCATGAGTATTGACAAGACAAATCTATTATTATTTGGGAAGTACTGAGAAACTACAGCGTGTATTGTGTAAAAAAGACCCTATGTACACTGATCACTGGTTTTGGAGTGGAGGGCTGCATACTCTGAATGAACTGTGAGTTAATGTTTTGAAGAACTCTATCAGCCCTGTTGGATGTGTCAAGCCACAGGTACCTGCCTCCTCAGGTACCTTTGCTCTTGAATTGCAGGTGGCAATACGTTTGTTTTCACTTCTCATCTTTTCTTGCTTTCACTGGCCTTGCAGCAGTAGAACTTCAGCACAGTGTCAAAGTTTTCTCTGCTCTTTCCCTAATTACTCACACTTCCCTAGAACAGGTAAGTCTCTCTGTGGCGAAGTGACTTTGGTCTTCAGAGTAGTGTGTCCTTCTCCAGATAGTGGGTGAAACGGGATTCTGCTCACTGTGGATCAGGCAGAGCTGCCAAATGCGACCTGGCAGTTAGCTGAGGTTTGCTAGGTCGCTGGAGCTCAGCTTTCCCACGAGTTTTACTAGGTACTATGAATATCATATACCGTGACTCTGGAAGGCCACCCAGCCATGATGCTGTGACTAAACAGGGCAACTCTAGCCCTTCTTTTCCTTTCCTACCTGAGGAGTGACATGGTGGGCAGTGGTGAGGCTGGCTGGGTACACAGTGAGGTATAGCCCCCCTGGATACACCAGCCCACAAGAGTCAGCTCGAGACACACTGCCATGGGTTCCCTCTGCAGTGCTGCAGCTTGAGCACTGGGAACAGCCCAAGGAACTTCCCATGTGAATAGGACAGCGGCCAAATGTAGTCCCATGTAGTCCATCTTCCGCTTGCCTGCCTTCAGAAGCAGCACTCCCTGTATCACCTAGGGATGTTTTGACCGTGTCTGAACCTTGGTAAATGTAGACATTAGGTGTCGCAGGTGCAGGTCCCCCAGTTGCTGAGCTAAGGGGCTTGGACTCTCTTCTGCGCTCTTACAAAGAGCCTTTCCAGGCAAACCAGGGAGACAGGATGAGGTAAGGCCTCCAGGGTTTTCATCCTGGTATAGGGTTTTGAGTGCAGCTGCGTCTCACTGCTGGGTCTGGGAGGTTAGATAGCCTTCCAGGTGCTGTTATTCGAAGAGAATCATATTGTAAATTGGTTGTTGTAATGTGGCGCCTCATATAGGGCTAAACCTGAAGGGGTGTTCATCTTTGGAGAAGTGTACAGAGGAGAAAAGATGCTTGTGACTGCAGCTGCACTCCAGTTTAATTACTGGAAAGGAATGGAGATGACCCGGCACAGACTGTTAGCATGCATTCTACTTGTCCCACAAATTTCTTCCCTCTCCAACCAAACCCCAAGCTCTCTCTAGTTGAGGTCCTGCTGCTTGTGTTGTATATAAACACCTTCCTTTTTCAGACACTGGGGCAGGAGTTATTTGTTGCATCACTGGAGCACTGACATTCCTGATGCAGACAGGGTCCCCACAGTACTGGCTGCTACACACATAGCCAAAATCAGTGGCACCTGGACCAGGCTCCCTAATAAAAATTACTCCATAAGAAGAGGTGTAACTAGGCAATGCTTGAGGAAAGGTGGGTGTTATTAGATCATGTGGTTAGCCAGCACTAAAAACTTGATTACAATTCAATTAAGGGAATGTTTCTAATTAAAGAGTTCTTATTTTAAGCTGTAAATGATTAAAATAAAGGTAACTGAAGTGTCCATGTGCACACTCCAATTTCATCCCCAAGGGCTGTATCTACATTTGGGATTCTTTCAAATTCCCTCCTGCTGTCTCAGCCAGCAACTGAGGGCAGAGCTGGGCCTGGTCACTGTCCTCACAGACATTGCACCTGCCTGCCAGTCAGTGTCACCCCAAACTCCATTCCCACCAGCCATATGGAGAGCTGCCTCTCCCGGATTCTGATTCAGATCTATCCTTTTCGGCTCTCTGCCAGAGCTCACCTCGCTCAGTGCCCGTATGAGCCTACCATTGGCAGCAACGTCATGAGTGATGCCGGGCTCCAGCAAATCCCCTCTCGACTGATGTGCACCCACCCAGGGAAGGAGAGCAACCCAACCCTCAGCTGGATCTGGCAGTGGCTGTATACCTTATTACCTGCCTTCCCATCTGCTCACTGTTACATAAGCTGTGAAACGGCAGAGGTTCAATGGAGCATGTGTAAGGAAATGTCATTACTATGAAAAACTCAAATTTTAACTTCTCCAAGTGGAGGCAAAGTTCTGTGATAAAACTGGCCCAGCAGTGACAGGGAAACAGCACTGGTTCCCAAAGGCTTGCATAAGTGAGGAACTATTCCCAGGTCTCAGTGGCCCAGCAACTCAGTGTGGGCACAAATTGGCAGCGGGACTCAGGTTGTTGCAGTCCACCATCTTGGTATGGCTTGAAGCAGAGACTGCTTTCTGCAGTGCAAGGGGCCAGCACAGCTGCAGCTTGGGCCTCCTGGAGCCAACAGCCCATGCTTATGTTGTGTATTTGGAAACTGACTTTGGGGCTTAGATGCATCCCAGGGCTGTACTGGTATGGGGGCTCCTGAGCTCTTCCCTATCGCGCTTATCTCCTCCTGCCGGAACCATGGTTCTTGACTTTGGGATGACTGTGCTGAAGCAGCTCCTGTACCCTGATGAGGCATCCCTGCCTGTGAAACTGGGCATCATCTGGCTCTAGCTACAGGTCCTACTGCTGTTCCCTTCCCACTCACCCTACACTCGCCTCCAGCCTCTTCTACAGTCCTGCTCCCAGAGCTCACAACAGCACATCCATCCTCCTTTGTCCGTCCAGCCCCAGTCTCCCAGGAGCCTGCAAATACTTCTTTGCCCTGGGGTTTGCTCCTACACCCCCATACAGGTCTGATGAATGGCTGCTCCCCTCTATCAGCTGGCTTTCAGACATGCTCTGGGGCTTGCTGTGGCCACCTGGCCCCCAAACACCCTGGGGTCTGGGGGGTATCCCCTAGCTTTGCACCTATCTGCTGGTGGGGTGGGTGTCCCATAGACTTCGTCTGTCCGGATTAAGGGTTCATGTGTGTGCTTCATCATTCACTTGGATTTGCAAGTGCTCCCCCCAAGGTGTGTTTCTCCTCCTGAGGGGGGCGGACTGAGCAGCCCTGACCCTCTCTGTCGGGTAGGGGTGGTTCTGATGCCTCACTGGCCCTCCTGCTGGACCCCCGCTTGGCATCCGCCGCCAACGCGATGGCACCCAGCACCCATGTCTGATCATCCCCATGTGGGGCTACCCTGCTGTTGCCCCACTGAAGAGAAACCTTCGGCGGGGTCGCGCCCCCCCAAGCCCCCAGGCCGTGTGTGTGTGTGCGGCCCCCTCGCCGAGGCTGAGGGCGGCGGGCGGGAAGGCAGCGGCGGCGGCGGCGGCGGCGGTTGCGCCTTTAACGGCGGGCGGAGGAGGAGGCGGAGGAGGAGGAGGGCCGGGGCTGCGCTGGGTGACATCAGTGGGTTTGGCTCCGGGGCTCAATGGAAACTGGGTGAGCGCCGGGCTGTGCCGAGCACACGCCGGCTGGAGGGGACGGCGAGCGGGCGGGAGGCGGCAGGCAGCGCCGCGCCGCGCCGAGCCGAGCGAAGGAGGGACGCGCCGGGCACGGCCGCCACCAGCCCTCCCCAATCCTCCGTCATCCTCCCCGCCGCGGCCGCCTGGCCCCCTGACAGCCGGCGGAGCAGCATCCCCACACGGCCCCCTTCCCGTCAGGGTGGGTATGGGGGGCGCCCGCCTGCATCTTGGGGCGCAAACCCCGGGGGAAAGGCGGCCCCTCCGGCTCTTTGTGTGCGAGGAGGAAGGGGGAGGGGGCGGGGGAGGGGAGGGCAGGGCGCGATGCGCCGGGCCGGGGGGGCGGCGGGGGACAAAAGCCCCTTTGTGGGGGCGCGGGGAGGGGGTCGCCTCCTCCGCCACTGGCAGATTTGGGGGGGGGGGCTCCCCCCTCTTCCCTTTCGCCGCCTGCCAGGGCCCTGCCTGGCTGCCGGCGGGGCCGATCGGGGAGGAGGGTGCTGGTGTGTTCTCGGCGGGTACTGCGGGGGTCCCGGGGGGGGCCGCCCCCCGGATGATTTAAACCCCCCACCCCTTCCGTTCACTGATGCTCTTGTCTCCCTTCCCAGCCCCCGTCTTTGCCTGTTTCGGGGGAGAAAGGGTGTCTGCGTTGGAGGGAGGTTGTAGGGGTCGACGTTTCGTCTTGTGGGGCTCGGTAGGGGCGGAGGTCGATGGCCGCGGCCGGGGCCGAGCTGGGGGGGACGAGGAGAAGTTCAGCGCCGTTCCCGGGGGTGGCAGCTTTTTGTTACCTACCCGGAAAAATAACAGCCCGGGTACTGCTGTCTTCGCGTAGTGTTTTGCCTGTAGGGGGTGGGGGTGTAAGGGACATATTTATTTTATTTTTTTGTGTGTGTGTGTCCCCCTCCCTGTTTTCCTGTTGCGGCTGTTTCTTCCTCAAATGTAGTCCAAATGCTCTGTGCAT